CCTGGATTAGGCGCCTAACTCCATGAGAGATTCATGATTGTGAATCCTGTATGAGAGAAGCTCCTCCCTCCAACTCAGACTCAGGCACCTAAATCCCCTGGAGCAACATGGCTTTGGCCACACCCATCTCCTCAGCATTTACCTACTGACTAATTTAGGTGTTGCAGTACCTAAGTTCCCCTTGTGAGCCCTATCTTAGGTAACTATTTAGAAACTGTGTAGTGATAAAACAGACTAGTTTATGTTAGATAAATTATTCTTCATTTTCTACAAAAACTGCTATGTCATAATACCGGCTATGACTGGGCGCTTCACTCCAAACCAGAATAATTTGATGTCTGGGTCTTATGGATAAATGAATCTATATGAGAACAAAATATTATTAACTTGAAATATATTAATATATTGTAGTTTATGCTGGAGTACCTCTAGCAAAATTTCCAGAATTCATTCAATTATGACATTGTACATAAACTCCTTTATCTAGTCCAATTCAAACATTAGATATATAAATGTAGGTTATTTTACAGTGGTAAAATAAATGTAAATGCACCGATTGGACGTTTACCTTGAAGTATTGTATTCTTGATGAGGTCTCTTGCCATTATTGCGTTCCCACCTAGAAGATGACTGTTCAATAGGTGGCAGGCCAGACGCTCCTGAACTTCGTCTCAACTGTGGTGTTGGTAAACTATTCCTGCTATTTAATCCCTGTTGAATAATTTAACAACAGTTAAAATTTCTCTTATTGAAAGCAGACAGTTTTATGATTTATTATTTCTGCAGGTGGTGTATGAAATTATTTTTGTTAATATGTTCAAAGAAGTAGGAAGTATGGTATCCTGTGTTAGAAACATACTGATCTCAAAAATTTGAAAAAGGCTTATTTAGGAATAGTCTATTCGAGAGAAAGATATCTATTTTATTTCTCATCTTCTCCTCATCCCATAATAAAAATAAAATCTAAGATATTTGTCCTTGGGAATTCATCTGTTCCAGCGATTATTCCTCACATGAAGTCACATAATTTAGAGCTGAAAAAGATCTATTATCTAGACTATCTTTTTGCAAATATAGGATTGCTCCTTACAGTACATTTTCTAGTATTCTTCCTAGGTAAAGCACCTATGTGACTTCTGAACCTAAGTCCCATTTTCAAAAGTAACACAGGCTTCTAAGGATCTGTCTACACTGCAATGTAAACCCAGAGTTAGTGGGACTCAAGTCAGCTGACCCTGGGTTACAGAATCCAGAGCTTGAGTCTCCACTGATTGTTAACCATATGTTAAGAATTTTCTAACCTGAGTTAGGACCTGTGTCTCTGGCATCCACACTGCAACATACAGACCTGAGTCAAACCAGCCATATCCCAGACTCTTTAGCGCACTTCCAAAATGTGTCCACTCTTGCCCTTTGACCATGATGCACTGTGGGAAAACTTTACTTTCCACGCTGCATATTAGAAGAAATTGGAACAGCCCGCTAACCCATCTTGCTGAGTAGTCATTTTGGTCTGTACACTCCCAGCTACTAGAACCAGCAACATGGAGCAAACGCCTTTTCAATAACTTCTCTTGCTTGCATGGTCATTCCTGTGTCAGGAAACGGGCAGAGCTTCTGTAAGATGCTGGTGCATATTTCATCAATGTTTTCTGACCCACCAAAATCACCTCACAGAGCTTATGATGGAGCAGGAGGAAGAGGACCCTACCATGGCAGACTTAAACTGACTGATGCTGCTCATGGCACTGTGTATAGCCGCTGATGCTCCCAATGTAGGTGCTTCTGATGCAGGGCCACAAGCACAGAATGGTGGGATCACATTGTCATGCAGACCTGGGATGACCAGCAGTGAGTCCAGAACTTTCGCATGAAGAAAGCTACATTTCTGGAGCTTTCTGAGCAGCTTGCCCCAACCCTCCAGCATCAAGACACATGCATGAGGGAACCCTTGCCAGTCAGTACGTGGGTTGCTATAGCCAGTTGGAAGCTGGCTACCCCAGATTGCTACAGGTCCGTTACCAACCAGTTTGGTGTTGGGAAGTCGACTGTGGTAAAGTGGTGGCGGAGGCTTCTGAGACAATCAGGCATGGGGGTTTATCCCACGGTGGAGGGCATAAAAGATATTCCTGAAGTAACTGCTGGCTTTGAGAGAAAGGGATTTCCAAACTGTGTCGGGAACACTGATGGGACTCGTGCCCATAGTTTTCCTCCTCAAGGAGCTCATGAGTACATCAATAAGAAAGGATTATTATGCAGGACCTTGTGGACCTCAGAGCTTGATTTATGAATGTCAATGCAGACTGCACTGGGAAAGTTCATGATGCCAGAGTTTTTCGGTTGATCAGGAGTCTACATTCACAGACAGGTTAGAACATTTCCCACCAAATAATGTCATAATATATAGTTACTGTCCCCACTGTTATACGGGGGGACCCTGCATATGCCCTTTTGCCTTGGTTTATGAAATCATACCTGATGTAAGAGGCGCTGGCAAAAGATGGCTTAATTACACACTCCAAAAGTGTTGAATGTGCTTTTGACAGATTGAAATCCAGTTGGAGATGTCTACAGACACATTTGGATGCCAGTGAAATCAAGGCTGTCTGTGTTAGTGTGGCTTGCTGTGCTCTTCACAATCTTTGTGATATCGGAGGTGAGCCATTTCCCTCTGAATGGATCCATGACAGAGGACAGTTACCTGTTTCGTAACTGGCGTTCTTCGAGATGTGTTGCTCCTGTCTATTCCACAGTAGGTGTGCGTGCTCGCCACGTGCACCGGTGCCGGAAGTTTTTCCCTTAGTAGCATCCATAGTGGGGGAGGACCGCTGCAACCCCTGGAGTGGCGCCGACATATCGTGCCATAAAGGGGGCTGCGTGCTCCCCCCGCCCTCAATTCCTTCTTGCCAGACAACTCCGACAGAGGAGAAGGAGGGTGGGATGTGGAATAGACAGGAGCAACACATCTCGAAGAACGCCAGTTACGGAACAGGTAACTGTCCTTTCTTCTTCGAGTGATTGCTCCTGTGTATTCCACAGTAGGTGACTCCAAGCTATACGGAGGTGGGTAGGAGTTCTAAATGATAAGTGTTAAGGGTTACCCGGGCAGAGCACTGCCTTACCAAACCCAGCGTCATCCCTTGCTTGGGAGACGATCGCATAGTGCGATGAAAAAGTGTGGACAGAGGACCACGTAGCAGCCCTGCAGATGTCCTGAATAGGGACATGAGCCACATAGGCTGCTGACGAGGCCTGGGCTCTCGTCGAGTGCGCCTTGACAACAGAAGGTGGGGGAACCCCAGCCAGTTCATAACACATGCGTATGCATAAGGTGATCCAGCGGGAGATCTGCTGGGTGGAGATCGGTTGCCCTTTCATGCGCTCGGCCGTAGCAATGAAAAGCTGAAGGGATTTCCGGAATGGCCTCGTTCGGTCTAAGTAAAAGGCCAGCGCCCTACGCATATCTAGCATGTGTAGGCGTCGTTCCTCATTGGAGGAATGGGGCTTAGGACACAGGACTGGCAGAAAAATGTCCTGGTCCATATGAAACGCCGAGACCACCTGCGGCAGGAAGGCCGGGTGTGGGCGAAGCTGGACCTTCCCCTAATGGAAAACAGTGTACGGGGGTTCAGAGGTCAGGGCCCTAAGTTCCGACAACCTGCGGGCTGAGGTGATAGCCACCAAAAACGCCACTTCCTCTGATAAGTGGGACCAGGAGCACGTGACCAGAGGCTCAAAGGGTGGCCCTGTGAGGTGTGACAATACCAGGTTCAGGTCCCACGGTGGGACCAGGGGTCTAGCATAAGGGAACGCTCTGTCCAAACCCTTTAAAAACCTGGAAGTCATATGGTGGGAGAACACGGACTGTCCCGCCACCGGAGGGTGGAAGGCCGAGATGGCCGCCAGGTGCACCCTGATCGAGGAGGGGGCCAATCCTTGGGTCCTAAGGGACAGGAGGTAGTCCAGGACCAGCTGGAGCGGAGCAGACACGGGGGAGGAACCGCTCTCCCTCGTCCATATAGAAAACCAATACCACTTAGCCAGGTAGGATCTCCGTGTGGACGGCTTCCTGTTCTCAAGCAGGACCCGTCTAACAGCCTCGGTACACCTCCCCCTCCTCCACATCTAGCCACGGAGCAGCCACGCTGTCAGGTGGAGCGGGGCCAGGTTGGGATGGAGGAGACGACCTCCCTCCTGTGAGAGGAGGTCCGGGCGGAGCGGCAGCCTGCGAGGGGGGCCGCCAATAGTTGTAGTAGGGTCCCGGTACCAGTGCTGACGGGCCCAATCCGGGGCTATCAGGATAATCCTTGCCCCGTCTGATTTCACCTTCTGTAGGATCCTGTCTATGAGGGGAAAAGGCAGGAAGGCGTACATCAGGGGCCCCGACCAATTGAGCAGGAACGCGTCCATCATGGCCCCATCGCCCTCTCCCACCCTGGAGCAGAACCTGGGACACAGGCGATTTTGGGCATTGGCGAACAGGTCTACCTGGGGAGCCCCCCACTGTAGGAAGATCCACTCCGCTACCGCGCTGTGTAGGGACCACTCATGGCTGTTGCGAGAACACTCTGCTCAGGCGATCCGCGAGCATATTGCTCTCGCCAGGTAGGTGGAACGCTCGGAAAAGGATGTCGTGGGCTATACAGAACTCCCGCAGGAGCTGGGCTTCCTGGCATAAGGCCTTGGAGCGTGTGCCCCCTTGCCTGTTGATGTAATACACAGAGGTTGTATTGTCCGTGAGGACTCTGACCATTTGCCCCTGTAAGCACTGGCGGAAATCCACGCACGCCAGGCGCACTGCCCTGAGTTCCCAGACATTTATGTGCAGGGTCAGTTCCTTGGGTGACCACATACCCTGGGTCCTGAAGTCCCTCACATGGGCTCCCCAGCCCAGGTCCGAGGCATCCAACACTAGATCTAGCGACAGAGAGGGCTCTTGAAGGGGGATACCCTGGAGCATGTTGCTCGGGAGGGACCACCATCGTAGGTCTGCCACCACCGTTGGCGGCACCATGACGACCTTGTCCAGGCCATCCCTGGCCTGGGAGTACCGGGAGGCCAACCAGAGTTGGAGAGGCCACATCCGGAGCCTGGCATGTCACACCACCAAGGTGCACGCAGCCATCTGGCCGAGGATTTGAAGGCACACCCGAGCCATGGTCACCGGGAAGACCTTGACCGAGGCGATGAGGCCTTTGAGCGCCTCGAACCTGTCCCTTGGAAGAGAGGACATGGCCACCCGGGAATCTAACAGCGCTCCTATGAATTCTATGCGCTGGACCGGTACTAACGTGGATTTTTCCTCATTTACCACTAGGCCTAGAGCTGAGCAGGTGCATAGCAGGAAGGTTATCTGCTGCTGCACCTGGGACCGGGACTTGCCCTTGAACAGCGAATCGTCCAGGTAGGGAAAGATCTGCAGCCCTCTCCTCCTGAGGTGGGCCGCTACCACCGCCATACACTTCGTGAAGACCCTGGGGGCCGTCGAGAGGCCAAAGGGGAGGACCGTAAACTGGTAGTGGTCCTGACCCACCAGGAAACGGAGGAAGCGCCTGTGACCCTAGAAAATGTGGATGTGAAAGTACGCATCCTGGAGGTCCAGCGCTGCAAACCAATCCCCCGGGCCTAGGCAGGGAATAATAGAGGCTAGGGACACCATGCAGAATTTGCAGCGAACCAAGAACTGTTTGAACTTCCGCAGGTCGAGGATG